ACAGTGTATGTGTGTGTGTGTGAGAGAGAGAGAAATTGAGAAAGCAAGTCGCCAGGTCCAGAACTCCAACCGTGGTCAGCCATGTGGGAGTCCAGCCCCACCCCACATTACTTTCAATAAAGTCCAATTTTCAGGACCAGCAGTTGCCATAATGGCTATGTGCGTGCCCAAGATCCCAAGAGGAAAAAGGATTGTGGTGTGGCCACCCCCCCTGGATAGTGCTTTCTCGCTTTCTGTCTCTCTGTCTGTGTCTCTCCCCACTCCCCCAAAAAATCCAATTTTCTTACCTTGACTATCTCCAAACTACCTTTTCAAAATTTACTATTTTTTTTGTTGTTGTTGTTTTTTAAATTGCCAGAGCGTGTCCTCGCTGGAGAAAGAGAAAGCAACCCTGCCATGTGACACTCCCTTTTCCTCCATTCCTCCTTCCTGTAAGGACTTTGGTAAGAACTCCTCCCCACTCCCCCCAAAAATCCAATTTTCTTACCTTGACTATCTCCAAACTACCTTTTCAAAATTTACTATTTTTTTTGTTGTTGTTGTTTTTTAAATTGCCAGAGCGTGTCCTCGCTGGAGAAAGAGAAAGCAACCCTGCCATGTGACACTCCCTTTTCCTCCATTCCTCCTTCCTGTAAGGACTTTGGTAAGAACTCTGATCCTAACACGCCTTGTCTTTCTTACTTCAGGACCATAACATAAGTTTTTCTCTATGCTTGGAAGGCCCTTCCCTTCCTCTCAGTCAAAGCTTTCCCAAGGCGTGTGTCTTCTCAACTCTCAGAAGTTAGCTTCAGGTTTATCCTAACAAATACTACCTCAGGTAGGTCCCTTCTGTTATAGTCTTTCAACCTAGATTTATTTCCTTCATGATATTTATTAATTATACAGGTATTTTGCTTTCTACTCTCCAGTCTATCTTCTCTACTAAATGTAATACTGGATAAAGTATGTCTATTATCTATCTTTCATCAGTACCTATACTGGGATATAATTCTCTTATAAATATATAAATGACTATATAAAACTAAGAAACATTTCATTAGAAAAGTTCAGACTAGGGACCAGCAGTTAGTGTAATGGCTATGTTGCTGGACTCCCATGTATTCGACCGTGGTTCGCAGCTGGACCCGGTGGCTTAAAACTCACACTGGGGGGAACCAGCAGTTAGCGTAATGGCTATGTCGCTGGACTCCCACGTAGTAGACCACGGTTCGCGTCCCAGACCCGGTGGCTTAAAACTCACGCCGGGCACGTGTGCGTGCGTGCCCAAGATCCCGAGAGGAGAATGGAGGAGAAGGGATTGCCATGTGACCATCCCCCCTGGGGGGTGATTTCTTGCTTTCTGTCTCTATGTCTCTGTCTGTCTGTCTGGTGAGCGCACGTGCCCTATAGCGAAAACCTCTCCAAAAAACAACTCACACTGGGCGCGTGTGCATGCATGCCCACCCAAGATCCCGAGAAGAGAATGGAGGAGAAGGGAGAGTGTGCAGCTGTATTGGGGTGTGATTTCTTGCTTTCTGTCTCTCTGTTTCTTTGTCTGTCTGGTGAGCGCACGCGCCCTATGACAAAAACCTCTCAAAAAAAAAAAAATCAGAAGATCAGACTACATTAAAATGAGGACTGGTCCTTAAATTTTGAGGACGCCACACTTAATAATTTTAGCTAAGCAAAATAAACATTGTCAAAAAGTGAACTATGAGCCAACGGGTATAAAACTGCTCAGATTTGGGGGCCAGCTCCCTGGCCTAGCAGTTAAGGAAGCCAGATCCCACATGGCCAACCATGTGATTTGATTTGAGTCTCCCTTGCGGCTAGGAAAAAACTCCCAATGCAGGAATGGCCAGGCTAGGAAAACACTCCCAATGCAGGAATGGCCAGAAGCCTGATGGGATGGAGAAAGGATTGTGCTGTGACCATGCCTCATAGAAGAGTGCTTTCTTCCTCTCCCTCTGTCTAGTGAATGCATGTACTTTTTGGCAACTAAAAAAAGAGAGTGAGAAAGAAAGAAAAAACCCGCTCGGTTCTAATTCCTGACACACCATTTAATTTCCCCATATTTTATTTCATATTTATGTGAAGAGGCATTACACTGAGTTTTCTTTCCATTTGGCCACTGGCTTCCTATAAAAAACTAAAACCATGTCGAACTTAATTGGTGCATTTCATGTTTGGGAGTGGGCATTCAGAGTCAGTAAACCAAAGTAAATTCAGTCAGGGTCCAAAATTCAACCAACATTGTGACTGCCCTCTAAGATATTAAGGAAAATAAAAAACAAAATGACAGCAACATGCATACAGCACAGAGGAGGAGAACAATTAAAGTTGAATATATATGAAGGGGAAAGTTCAGGGAAAAGCCTGATTATTTGTAAGGGGACTGGAACAACAGGTAGGGTTTCAATAGGTGGAAAGTGGGGTGGAGTCAGGTAATCAATGAAGAGCCAACAGCAGAAGCAAAGGTACAAAGGTATGAGTAGGTAAGTGTGACTACCACAGAAAGAGCGAGCAGCCAAATAAGCACAGCTGTGCTGAAGGATGAATGAGGGGGGGCAAATAAAGACAGAAAACCACACTTGGTAATTGAGAAGACACATCTATGGAAAATGTGGAGTCAATTTTGTGGACAGTAGTAAGTGCTGCAGCATACTTTTTCCTTTCTCTAGAAGAGGAAGAAGCCATTAACTCACACTTTTTGGAACAGCTGTATTGTAGTATCTGACCCCTCAATGTAAGCATAAAGTCTTACACTCAGCATGGTCTGACAAATGCCTGGAATTAATTATATAATTCACTTTCACAAACTGGAGAAATAATTTAATTCAACATATTACAAATTGCATTACAGTGGGTTCTAAGAGTCTCTCCAACCCCTTATATTGGAATTACATGGTGCTCATAGCTGACTCAACTACTAGCATCTGTTGGGACCTGCAGGTTTCACCAATCAGACTCTTGGTGTCCTGGTCTTTGTTATACAATATTTGATTTATAATCACTTTCTCTTCATTTTAAAGGTCCATTTAGTTGAGTAGTCAATCTTATAGTCATTACACTGTCTGGCTTTGTTTCTTCTGTTTCTATCCCACAGAACACTTATGCATCCAGTTGGTATCCTCAATTAGTTATAATAGCTTTTAATGTTTAAAGTTCAGAGTAATATCTTGTCAGCAAATCTATAAACCAGAAATATCTCACTAAAAAAATCTACATAGAGGGAACCAGCAGTTAGCGTAATGGCTATGTCGCTGGACTCCCACATAGTCGACCGCGGTTCGTGTCCCGGACCCGGTGGCTTAAAACTCACGCCGGGCGCATGTGCGTGCGTGCCCAAGATCCCGAGAGGAGAATGGAGGAGAAGGGATTGCGACGTGACCATCCCCCCTGGGGGGTGATTTCTCGCTTTCTGTCTCTATGTCTCTGTCTGTCTGGCGAGCGCATGCGCCCTACAGTGAAAATCTCTCCCCCAAAAAAAAATCTACATAGAAACTCAGTCCTTTTTAAAGACTTTAAAGAAACAACCAGTGAAACACCTTTTGTTTGAAAATCTTGGAGCAATTTTCAACTCAAATTTGGCATAACTTAAATAAAAGAAACCTCTGACCAAATATTAAGATGAATTATTGAATATTTGCATTTTACTTGGAAAGAGAATGCCTTATAATCAGTGTCACTTTTTTTTGGGTGGGGGAGGATTTTTGCTATAGGGTGCTTACGCTCTCAGGAGAAGTAGAGAAAAAGAGACAGAAAGCGAGTAATCCACGCCCCCAGGGGGGATGGCCATGGTGCAATCCCTTCTCCTCCATTCTCTTCTTGGGATTTTGGACAGATGGGCACACACACCTGGCGATGAGTTTTAGTCTGCCGGGTCTGGGACTTGAACTACAGTTGACTACAAGGGACTCCAGCGACATAACCATTACTCCACCTGCTAGTCCCAAAATCTTTATCAGAGAGACACAAAACGAAAAATCACCCCCTCTAAGGGGGATGGCCATGCCGCAATCCATTCTCCTCCCAGGATTTTGGGCGCGCTCGCACAGAGTGATTTTTAAGTCACTGGGTCCGGGACTCGAAACATAGTCAACTATGTGGGAGACCAGGAACATAACCATTATGCCATTTGCTGGTCCCTCCAGTGTCATTTTAAATTTTAAAACAGATACTAAAGTCCAGAGACAATACAACGTATATATCTGAAATTTGAACGATATTATAGAATTAAATTCCTTGAAAAAATCTTTCCTTAGTAACACTCTGGCCTTCTTCCACCTTGAAAATTATCCAAATTGATCTCTAGCCTATTTAATGATCCACCTTGGAGAAAAATAATAAATACTAAAAATGTTCCCACTGAGGCCAATGCACCTTCTTTTTCCTTTATGATAAGTGTATTGCAAAAGAGGTGTCTGGCCCAATTCATACTTGGCATCAGCGTACCAACATGTAGTTCTGCTTCTTCCCAATTATGGAGGTTTTGTTTCTAAAGGACAAAGCATTTTCATTCGGCTACAGTTCCAAAACGCTGCAGTATAGGAGTTTTAAAATCTGGGGTTCAGAGATCTGCAAGAACTCAGAGAACCTTAAATGGTGTACAAACGTGTGTGTACGTGCAATTTCGGGCATGCCACGGCTATCTTCAGATTTTCAAGGCAGTCAGTGATCCAAAAAAGATTATTTTAAAAAAACAAAAGAAACCACCACCAAACTCTGCATTACTACTTTAGCCAGATCCATGAAGTAATGTCATGAAAGGCCAAAAGCTTGCATTTTGACACAATCACCGTTAAATATATTAAAAATGCATCCCTCTCATTCCCTGACCCAGATCCAGACACCAGCTTTCCGTTCGAAACGCCTTCTGGAAAATAATTCGGTTCCAAACCGGGGGGGAAATGGGTTAGCCCCTCTCCACCCGCAGACAAGCAGTACCCGACCGACCCCTTCTCGACCCTACTCGGCCGGGAGGCTGCGCTGGGCGCTGGGCAGGGCGGGCGCTGGCGTACCTGGGCGCAGGCTCAATGAGGGTGGTGGTGTCCAGGTAGTGGATCTTGTAGAACTCCAGCAGGGCCGGCAAATGGTCAAACTCCTGGTCCCCGATCTTAAAACGGCGGTTGGGCAGCGAGTTGATGATGTAGTGGGAGACCCGCGAGTTCTCGGACACCGACAGCACATAGTCCCCGGGGCAGGTGGACGAGTCGCGGACTAGGAACATGCCGTGGCGCTGGCCCTGCAGCCGGCTCTGCGCCTCCTGGCGAGACACCGGCCCCATGTACCAGGCAGAGCGGTCTGAGGAGTCGAACCTGGCGGAGGACATGGTGTCGGGCCAGGGGCTCTCTGGAAGGTCGGGCGGTGGCTGCTCTCGCCTGCTTGGGAAGCCTTTGCCGGGCAGACGGCTCTGGGGCCAAGGGCCTCTCGGCACACCTCGAGGCGCGCTTCAGAGCGTTGGATCGGCACCTTCCTCTCGGCTCCGGGCCCGCAGCATCCTCCGCC